ATTATTTATTTAGAGCTATACCTCTTCGATTTCGAAAGTCTCGCTTGTTAACTGGAAACGGTCTGCCAACCAAAAGTCCGAGGAGGCCTTGGACTGCCTCTTATGCATGAGAAAAACACCGCTTTCATGATGAAGCTGGGGTATAATCTTCTGACATGTCTGAATGCTCTTTGGGTCAAAGTTCTTCGCTAAATGTATAAGATTGTCGAATCATATCCTTCGTCTATTCACCGGCCAGTTTGCAGCCATTTGTGGCGTGGTCTTTCAAAGGCTTGGAATTTCCTCCTTCATTTCCTTGTGTGGTCGATTGGCACTGGAAATAATCGCAAGTTTTGGAGCGACAACTGGGTTCCTTCGTTGGGTTCCCTCCATAATTATGCTCTCGACTCTTCTACCATTTCTGACGACCTTCTTGTTCATGACTTTGTCACTCCCGAGGACTCTTGGAATATTCATGTGCTCATGTCTCTTGCCCTCCTGTGACGGTAGCCCATATTGTTAATATCCGGCCGCCTCTTGACTTCGATACAGATGACACTATTCTTTGACATCGCGATAATGACAATGGTTTCAGCGTTGGATCTACCTACCACTCACAACTTGATCATGGCTGGCATGATCCTAGCCCCGTTTGAAAATCAGTTTGGTCACTCCCTATCCCTCAACGTCTTCGCCACTTTTTATGGCTTTCGATGAAGCAACGACTCATGACGAATGGTGAACGCGTCCGTCGTGGCATGTCCTCAGACTCTTCGTGTCCATTTTGTAAAGTTGGAGAAGAATCGATCCGGCATGTTTTGAGAGACTGCCCGGGCGTTCAGACCTTTTGGCAAAACATCATCCCTGCTGCTGTGAGTACCAGTTTCTTTGAATCCGATTTCCTCCAATGGCTCATCCAAAATCTAGCCATCAAGCGATAATTGCAAGGATTTGAAGTTCCCTGGTCTTCTCTTTTCGCCTCGATCCTCTGGCAACTATGGAAACGACGGAACATCGAAGTTTTTAGTGGAGATAGCCAACCACTCAAACTTATATTCCATTGCGCCTACAGTTGGGCTCGTTGTTTCGAATCTCAACCGCTAAAATTTTCAGCATCTTCTTCATCTTCCCAGGAAATTACCAAGTGGATTAGGCCGCTTGATGACTGGTTTTGCTTGAATTGTGATGGTAGTGTCAAGGTTCCAACTAATCTGGGATCTGCCGGGGGAGTTATTAGAGATTCTTCTGGCTGTTGGATAGCTGGATTTAGTAAAAACATTGGTTACTCTACGATTTTCCAGGTGGAGCTATGGGGCTTATATGAAGGGCTCCGACTTGCTTGGACTCATGGTATCGCTCGTCTGGAAATCCAGACTGAGAATACTCAAGCTGACTCGATTGATGCTGCAAACAGTCTCTTCCGTTAGTAAGAGCTATTGCTTCCTTGAGAGCTCGACGGTGGCAAACCAGTGTCTGATGGATCCCTCGTTCTACCAACTCAATTGCTGACAGCCTTGCCAAGATGGTCCCTCCAGGCCTGGCCCATTTTGCTTTTTATGATACTGCTCCAACTGGTGTTGAGATGCAAGTGGATCACGAAGCTCACCCTACTTTGTTAGCTTAATTTGTTAAGCTCCTTTTCAATTAAAAAAAGTTTTAATTATTTAAAGCGTCTAGTGTAGTTAAAAAATAGTTAGTCTAACTTATTAATGAGTTTGAGCTTAAAATATGTATTTAATATATATAATATTTAATATTTTTGATTAATTTAATTAATTAACCCATTTTAAAATGAATTAATCGTTGATTGAATATTAAAAAATTAACTATTCTTCAACTGAACTAATTTAATTCGATTAGTTAATTGGTTTAATTTCGAAAAGTGAATCAACACTACTAAAATCATTCGATAAGTTTACAATTATAAAGTTAATTAAGATGGAAACGAGACTAATATAAGCCGTATGGAAAAGCCATTCGTTGTAAATAAAATCTTAATTAAGTTAATAAAATTAAATATAAAATAAGTGTTCAAACTACATTATTTTTCACGAATATGTGTATAAACTATTTTTTAATGATTCTGGTGTCTAACGTTACAAACGTTATCATTTTAGGTGTATAAGCCATCAACGATGTTAATTTCTTCCGTTAAGTGGCACGTGCCACAATCTAGTAATTTTGAATTTTTTTTAAAAAATATTATTATATTTATAAAAAAAAAACTATAAATTTTCTTAAATTACAAAAAAGCCCAATATCCCTAAAATCTCCAAATCCTAACCGTAACCCACTGCCTCCGACATAGTCCATATCATCCTCCTAGTCATAGGTCGTCGTGTTGTCATCGATTGGCCGTTAGAATCGCGTTGGATCGCGATTTTCATCCTAGGATTCGCATGGTATAAAACGTCGATTCGACATCGATCGGTCACGATTTCATAGGGGTTTTGGTCGCTTAGGAGAGGTGAGGTCGGATGGAGTTTCGTTAACGGTAAAGGTCGGCGGCTGGTGTGGGTTTAGAGATTGAAATGAAGATTTTCAAAGTTTTGAGATTATTTCAAATTGTATATGTTTTTTAAATATAATTTTTAAATTTTAAAATATATTTTAAAAGTTATCATATTGTAATAAATATCACTTAACGAAAAAATTAACGTTATTGACAATTAAACACCTAAAATAATAATATTTATAGCGATGTTCAATTCGAACACCTAAAATAATAATGTTTATAACATTAAACACCATGATTATTTAAAAATAATTTAAACATCACTATTGAAAAACGTTATATTTTACACTTATTTTATAGTTAAGGCTTACTAAAGTCTAAAACTATTCTCTACATTCTTAATCGAGCCTTTACGGTGTCGAGAAAATGAGGGTAGTTTCTGCTTGCTGGTAGCCGCCATGTTTTGAATAAATTATATAATAAAAAATAAAAACAACTTAGATTTTTAATTGAATAAATGTCATATTATTACCCAAAAAAACAGCCAAAACAAATGTTGCTACAAACAAACAAAAAATACAACACTCAGTGCCTAAACGCCCCAAACAGCACAAAGCACAAAAGATTTACAGCATCTCTCCTATCTTCCCTGGCACTCTAGTTCTCACAACCCCTTAATACAATCAATTAATCAGTGCCCCTAAAACATCTGCACTTCCTTTCACCCATATATATATATATATATATATATTTGCACATCAAGCTATTTTAAGTATATAAACAAGCAAAGATTTGCCCTTCAATAGAGTAATTGCCCAGTTAAGGTCATCACACAACAACCCTCTAAATCCTACAAAGCTTCTATAAATCCTCCCAAATCTTCTTTGAGAAAGGACACTCAAAAAATATATGATCCCTAATCTCCTGGACAATACTCAAAGCTTGCATCTACCCTCAATCACCATTTCTATACACATCAAACGATCAACTGTGGACAATTTGTTGAGGACAACCATCCAAACAACAATGGTATGCCTTGGAACATTCAAAGAAAACCAAAGCAGCTTGTGCTAACCTTACCCTGCTTTTCCCTTATCTCCTCCCACAAACACCTTGGCCTCCATTTAACAGGACGAGCCAGGTGTAAAAAGTAAAAAAGTAATTTAAAATACCACATCGACATCATCATTAATTTTTTAATGATTGATAATAAAAAAATAAAATATAATGTTAAATATAATTTGTAAAAAAATAATAATTAAATGACTTAAACAGATATAGAGAAATAGGAAAATGACTAAATAAATAATTTAATCTTTTTAATTATATAACTTTATAATTTTGGTGGGACCTAGCCAGGTGTCCCTCCTGCCCAGCCTCAGGGTCGGGCCTGTCTGTGCCATACGGACGTCGTCCGTAAACATGAATGTCGGGTTCTTGTTTATTGCCTGTAATTCGTATTAAGGGAAAAATAGAAGAAGAGAAAATCACCAAAAACAAATTAAGCAATCTTGTTGAAAGCTAGCTAGTAGTCAAGGGATGGTTTCAATTCAATCTTAGAAAAGACAATAGTAGTCAAGTGTCTAAGCTAAGACACTTGTTGTAAAAACATGCGCAGCCGAAAGATAAAGACTCCATTTCTCTGCACTTCAATAGCGGAGCTATTTACAAAAAGCAAAGCAAAATGAAGTGTTCTATGGATGGAGCTTCGATCCCATATAAGAATAGTACACTACCATGTGATAGATGTTAAGTTGAGCTCAATCGAATACTTCCCATTCTTGAGTTATTCTTGTAGACGATGGTAAGGAGGCTTGGGATCCTAGTATCCTACCCCAGACTCAAATGCCTCCCATTTGCTACTCACCGCCACTGCATTGCAACTACTGCTGAAGGGATTGGTGTTTCGAGCCTTCAATTTGTCTAGGCTGTCCACTAGTCCTTGCACTCGACGAACCTGTGCCAGAATCCAATGTCCTCTAGTATGTGATTCGAGCTGAAAAATGGTTGAAAGCAACCAGATCCATCAATGACCTCCTCCTCTTTGTTCACTATTTTAATAAACTAAATCTACTTATTTTCCTTCTTAGCTTTCTTACTATGAGGTTGGATCCAGTACAAGGAGATGGACATGTGACATAATTAACCAACTGTTTCCATTTCCAAGCAAAATGGGTTCTCATTTTTCATCTTCTCTATGGCACAAAGGCACCAAAGCACAATTATTTATATCAAAAGGGTTTATGATTACAGTAAAGAAAAAACCTTTTGATCATACATATGTCTCGGTCGGAAGTAAGCATAAAATGACCAACCTCAACCCGCCTCTGGACTTTGGCTTCTCCATCAGCCTCAATTGAATCTAACTGGAGCAATTGTACCATAAGCAACTCTGTCAAGACAAGGAATTCGTTTTCTGCGACTTTGTTATGCCTCCAAAGCAATAACCTACCAAAGTTTAATCAGTGGGTTGAAAAGTACCGACATTTGTAACGTTAAAAACTAAATTTTAATCCCTTCTTTTCAGCGGATGCTAACCTTCTCAGAGAGTTTATCAACCTCTGATCTAACCCGTAGCAACCTCTTCACAGGCTTTTAGCACGGTCCGATTTCTATTCATCTTCTCCAGCTTCCTCTCTTTGGTAGCTGGGTCCTCTAAAAGTACCACCTTTGACATGTCTTTTACTCCTACCATATGCAAACATTCTTCATCATCCTTTTCTTTCCCTTGGAACAATAGCCTCTGCTCCTTGGGCTCCAAACCGGTTTCTTGTGCAACAACTCTTTTCAGATCCCCTTCAATTTGAACCAAACTATTAAGAAGGGGAATTGTAGAAAAACACAGACAAATGAAGGCAGAGCAGTAAGTTTGTTCAAATGTCAAGGCCAACAAGCTTCCATAAAATCTCAACAAAGACAGTCATGAACAAGTTTTTTTTCAAAATTTCCTCGAGTTAACATACCATTTTAATCAAATACAGAAAATGGAAATCAAATGTTGCTAAAAGGAGAAAAAGTAACATGAAAACTGCTGGTATGCATTGATTACAGAATCCACTGTGTTAATCTTCCACAAAACCTCAACAAAGACAGTCATGAAGCAAGAAAAGTATAAAGAAATGATTACCAAAAGTTGATTGAGCAGGCAGAGCTATATCATGGTGATAAGAACCATGAGAAACTTTGATCTTGATCATAGGAGCAGAAGAAGAATCCCCCATGTTCCTCTTTTGAACAAGCATGCCACCAGGCCTAAGCTCCCACTCTATCGCCCCTTTAACGCTATTGTTCACTACCCTTTTTGAAGATGATAATCTTTTCATGGTCAGAAAATTAGAAAAGGTGGAGTTGGTTGAGAGAGAGGTACTAGTCTGAGCTAGTTGGGATAGCTAAGGCTGAACTAAAGAGGATTGAGTAAGCAAACAAAAATTGCTTTGAAACAAATACCCTCCAACATAACCTTTTTTATAAGCTGTTACCGGTTGGCCAGCTTCAAGCTAGTGTTTCTGTCTTCTGTACCGTGTCCCCCCACCCCCCAATTTACATGTAGAAATCATGATTTTGATTAAGGAAACCAAGACTATGACAGGATCGTTATGTTAGTAAAATCCCAAAGCAGATGGAGCCTAAATGTGCCAGGTGGAGGGTCAAGAGGATGAGAATGATAGGATCGAACAATAAAGTATATATCACATGATGTAACGGATGAGACTGGAGGGTCCAATTCATTAACTTCAGAATACAGTGAAGCCTTGATTGGTGCTAGTTGTAGCTTTCTGCTTACAGTTGAGGATATTTCTTCACTGAATTTATGTAATTCCAAACATAGAAGATGGTGGATGTAATGACTTCACTCCCAAATATATCCATCTAAAGAGAGATACAAATACACACATATACTGGATACAAAGAATGATAAAAGATCCATTCCACTCCTTTGGATTTATACAAAAAATATATAATAAATAATTAATGAAAAATTTCTCCCACCTCTATATATTATATCAACTAATTATTTTGATTCAGTACATAATACAAGCAGCAGTATACAAAAAAGAAATTTAAACCAACACAGGCATACCGATTGAACGCGATAATATGGGGGTGCATAAACGTGACAAGGCAGCAAACTCACATCAAGAGAGTTACGGACAAACAGGACAGGACTGAGACCTAGGACGATCAAGCTTAAATCACACAAAGGGCCGCATGACCTATTCCTGTTGAACCCTAGATCAATGAAGCCACGGGTATGTGTGCGAGCATGATAAGCAAGGAACCGCTTGATTGACCTGTCTAAATGCAGCCGGATCCCAACATTATGAGCATAATTAGAGAGCTTCTTCTTGGTTCTAGCATTGCGAGCAAACCTATCGTTTTTCTCTCTTACATGCAACTTCTGTTTTCTGTATCATCATTAAACTCTCACCAAGTAAAGTGAAATGGTGTTATGTAGCACTGCATATTCAGTTTGTCAAAACTGGAACTCTCTTTTGCCCCATAAATCCTTGACGAAGCTAGTGATACCCATCTCGGTAATGCTCAAGGGAGAAGCAAAGCTGACCTATAGCTTCTCGTTTTTCTTCTGCTCCCTCCAGTATTGTGATTATTTGCCTCTCAATCACATCCTCTAGTTCCTTAGCTTTTAATTGCAGTTCCTCCGCCAATTTATGTGCTCCACCAGCACTAGCAACTAGCTTCACGTGTTTCACATTTAACTCGTGAAGATGCTTGTCCATTTGATCAATCTGTTTATCCCTAGTACTAATATCTGCTTTGAGAGATACATTTTTAGTTTCAAGGTCATCCCTCTCTGCTTTTAAAGTCTCAAGGTTTTCATTCAAAACTTTAATGCAGTCACTTCTTTCAGCAATCTCCAGCCTCATATGCTCGATTTCACCACGAAGCCTCTCCTCTGATTCTATTTTCTCATGCACGGCTTTTCTGATGTCCTCCTCCAAGGACCGGCCTCATGCTTCCCAATCCCTGAGCTGTTCTTCCAAACAAATTCGTCCCTCCAACAATTTTGATATTTCAGCTTTTATATGAGCTTTCTCGGGAAAAATCTTCTGCTCAGCATCAGATACAGCTATCTTTAAATCCCGGATCTCATGATCCCTGTCTTATAAACTATTCTTTAACATAGCAATTCTATCCTGCAGCTTGGAGACCTCTCTTTTCTGTGTATTCAGTTTGGGTTTACATGTAACTATCTCTCTTCGAGCTGAATCAAGCTGACCTGCAACTTTTGAATTTTTTCAAGGCCGAGTTACTTTCACCACCACACACACAATATATGTAACAAATATATTTATAAAAATTTAGCCTTCCAATGATCATAGATGTAATAATATTTTAATAATAATAATTTAATATTTTTAATTTAACTCATATGATCATCTCCAGCTTCAAACTAGCAATTTCTTTCTCAGAACCCTGGAGCATTTCTTTAGTTATACTTAATTCTTCCACCATTGCCTGCATCTTGCCATCTGCATGGTTATTATCTTTCTCCAACATACCATTCTTATTTTCAAGATCCAATGCCTGGTTTACCTCAATCTGCTCTGTCTTGTGCGTCTTGAGTTTGACATTTTCTTCTTCAGATGATTCTGAGTCAGCTGCCTCTAGTGGTTTATATTTTTGAAGCTTGATTCTCAACCAGGTGACTTTTTCTTCGGTGAGCTGTATTTTTTTATTAGCAATTTCAAGCTTCTCCTCATACTCCCTAATTCTAGCAAGAAGTTCAGGATTATTATGTTTTGCCCCTCTTATTGAACCATCTGTACTTTCTTCCTCTAGCACCCGTAGCTTCTGTTTCATTTCATGGAGCTCAATCTCCAACTCAATCATTTTCCTGCTCACCCCTTGATCACTCCCATTTCCTGATAAAACTGAGTAATTATTGACTGAGGAAGCATCAGATTCGGTTTCAGAATCTGTTCGAGTAGATAGCTCGTCCTCTTCTTTCTGGTACACATAGAGCTGTTCCCACCAGAACCAAGGAAGACACTAAAACCAGCAGCTCGTGGACCAGATTTACAATGACTCGGCATTTGGTCTGAGATAATGTCAGAGATGTCGGACCCTGATATTGGAGATCTGATGGAATATTCTTCCTCAATTCTCCTGTCAGGCTGTCATAACGCTCAGCCAAAGAGCGATACATGCGGTATAACTCCTCAACGTGAGACACAAGTTCTGGCCTCCTCTGATAATACATCTCAGCCTTTTTTGCAAAAGAATCTCCGTCGTCTTCAATCAGCTTCAGCTTTTTTTTGTCGCTACGATCCATTTCTGTAGTCATCAATCTTAATGTTATTTTCTTGTTTGACATCTCCATAAGTTTATGATTAAGAAACAAAATTCTTTAGAAGAGGTGAGGATACTAGTCCTCTCCATAAAGCTAGACAGGTAGGATCGGTAAGATATATGCAACACCAGAATGACACCTTATTTCCAAATGGTTTCCAAAAACGAGGACCGTAAGATTATAGCAGCACCTTACCTGGAACTTACCCTCAAGATTTTCTGCTAGCCACCTTGAATTCTTGGGGCTGATGATGCTATCCCACCACCATGGATGTGACTTTCTGGATTCTAGTCTCTTCATACTATTAGTTAATTGACCCTTAAATGAGAAGAAAACAAAGAAACATATAAGATCTTCGCAGCTCAATTGATAATGTTATTTTTCGAAAGTTATTTGAACAGACAATTGAGCCTGGATGAAAAAGCTTGCTATATATGAAACAAAGTGTAAAAGATAATGAAAGAAGTATTAATTTCTTACTGTAGAATTTGGCATCTTGGAAGTTGGATGGATCAGGTATAAGAAAACTGGGTTCATAGAAACAGTAAAAATCAGCCTCAAGCTTTAGCTTTGCCTCAATTTTGTCGATCATTTAAACAACTAATTGTATATCTTGAACTAATTTTCTCTTAGATAGTTTTTTTAAAGAAAGTATAGATGAAAATTCTATGAAATAAAACCACCCTCAAGCTTTAGTTTTGTCTTAATTTTGTCGATCATTGAATATGCTTTTAGCTTCGAATTCACGTCGGCTACAATACAAGGCCCAACCCTTATAACTTATTTTTCTTTTTAGTGAACCGATCATCCAAAATTATTCTTTGGATCCCATTCCTTGTGTGAACTAACCGCGACAATAATTTGTTAATACCAACTCTGTTTTAGTCTTAGAAAAACCCGACTCGGATTATAGCGTCTCAATGAGAATTGAGCTCGATTTCAATTCTCACAATCGGAATAGAGTCATAGCTTCAGCCTTTGACTTATGAGAAACTTAGCTAAGCTTGGTAGAAAACATAGTATTTTAAAAATAAAAAAAACTTTAAAGAAAAACAAAGAAAAGCGAAACTAGAAGGAAAATAAATTTTATAAAGTAGATAAAACTTAAGAACAAATGAAAATGAGATACGTTTTTGAGTTTATCCCGGTGGAGTATTTATCTTGACTTCAAAGGCGCAAGACGCACCGAGGATCAAAAAGTTCTTGGAGCCTAGGTGCGCCTTTCATATGCGAGACATATTGTGTATACTATATGACATAGATCAAATATAAATTATATTTTATACTCAAAATAACATGATAAATAATATTATAGTTCTTTAAAAATCAAAATATTCAATATCATTTCACTATCAAGTATCAACTAATAACCAGTGTTTTGAAAATCGGACCGGACCGACCGGTTTAACCGGAAATCGCTGCTTAGTCCGATTCAATCTACACCGGTCGAACCGTTACTAGTGAACCGGCCGTAACCGCTGAACCGTTCAAACCGGACCGATTAAAAACCGAAAAAAAAAACCGAGAAAAACAGCCAATTTTGTTTTTTTTAAATTAAACCAAATGACGTCGTTTGTTAAATGAGCAAAGTCGAACTCGAGTATTGCTGAGCTCGACTCGAACTTGAAAACTTTAAAAGTAAGCTCAACTCAACTCAAACTCACGAGCTAAAAATTATCAAGTTCAACTCGAACTCGAAATATAATATTGAAACTTGAACTCGAAAAGGCTTGAACTCAAAAAAAAATTAGAAGCTCGATTGAAGCCTAAACTTCAAGCTTGATTGAAGTGAAAGAATAGTTCACTCAATGCTCACCAAAAGGCTCCATGATTTTGAATGTCAAATTACCTCTATTATTTATAGAAGTTAGTTGTGATGCTCTTCTATGTTTCTTAGCCATGTGGGATTGTTTTGTTCTCATATTTTTACTCTCTAGACTTTTGGAATGTTCTTCTATCTTTCTTAGCCATGTGGGATTGTTTTTAAAAAAAAATTAAACTAAACAATATCATTTTGTTATAATT